TAATGGTATACAGTGAGTAGGTGTGATAGTATACAGTTAGAAGAAACGTATGATGATATACAGTGAGTTGGTATGATAGTATACAGTTAGTAGAAGGTATGATGATATACAGTGAGTAGGTGTGATAGTATACAGTTATTAGAACGTATGATGATATACAGTGAGTAGATGTAATAGTATACAGTTAGTAGAACGTATGATGATATACAGTGAGTAGGGGTGATAGTATACAGTTAGTAAAAGGTATGATGATAAACAGTGAGTAGGTGGGATAGTATACAGGTAGTAGAACGTATGATGATACACAGTGAGTAGGTGTGATAGTATACAGTTAGTAGAAGGTATGATGATATACGGTGAGTAGGTGTGATAATATACAGTTAGTAGAAGGTATGGTGATATGCAGTGAGTAGATGTAATACTATACAGTTAGTAGAACTCTATGATGATATACAGTGAGTAGAAGGTATGTTGATATACAGTGAGTAGGTGTTATAATATACAGTTCGTAGAAAGTGTGATGATATACAGTGAGTAGGTGTGATGATATACATTGTGTGGAAGGTATCATCATATTCATTGAGTAGAAGGTATGATGATATACAGTGAGTATGTGTGATAGAATACAGTTAGTAGCAGGTATTATAATATACAGTGAGTAGGTGTGATAGTTTACAGTTATTAGAAAGTGTGATGATATAGTGTGAGTAGGTGTGATAGTTTACAGTCCGTAGAAAGTGTGATGATATACAGTGAGTAGGTGTGATAGTTTACAGAAAGTAGAAGGTATGATGATATACAGTGAGTAGGTGTGATAGTAGACAGTTATTAGAAGGTATGATGATATACAGTGAGTAGGTGTGATAGTATACAGTTATTAGAAGGTATGATGATATACAGTGAGTAGGTGTGATAGTATACAGTTAGTAGAAGGTATGATGATATACAGTGAGTACATGAAGGTGTGATAGTTTACAGTTAGTAAAAAGAATGATTATATACAGTGAGTAGGTGTGACAGTATACTGTTAGTAGAAAGTATGATGATATACAGTGAGTAGGTGTGACAGTATACTGTTAGTAGAAAGTGTGATGATATATAGTGATTGGATGGTATTATGATATTCAGTGAGTAGGTGTGATGGTATATAGTGAGCAGTTGTGATGATATACAATGAGTAGAAGGTACGATGATATAGAGTGAGTAGGTGTGTTAGTATACAATGAGTAGAAGGTATGATGATATACAGTGAGTAGGTGTGATAGTATACAGTTAGTAGAAAATGTGATGATATACAGTGAGTAGGTGTGATAGTATACAGTTCGTAGAAAGTGTGATGGTATACAGTGAGTAGGTGTGATAGTTTACAGTTCTTAGAAAGTGTGATGATATACAGTGAGTAGGTGTGATAGTATGCAGTGAGTGGAAGGTATGATGATATACAGTGAGTAGGTGTGATAGTATACAATGAGTAGAAGGTATGATGATATACAGTGAGTAGGTGTGATAGTATACAATTCGTAGAAAGTGTGATGGTATACAGTGAGTAGATGTGATAGTTTACAGTTCGTAGAAAGTGTGATGATATACAGTGAGTAGGTGTGATAGTATGCAGTGAGTGGAAGGTATGATGATATAGTTTGAGTAAGTGTGATAGTATACAGTTAGTAGAAAGTGTAATGGTATACAGTGAGTAGGTGTGATAGTTTACAGTTCGCAGAAAGTGTGATAATATACAGTGAGTAGGTGTGATGGTATACAGTTAGTAGAAAGTGTGATAATATACAGTGAGTAGTTGTGATAGTAAACAGTTAGAAGAAACGTATGATGATATACATTGAGGAGGTGTGATAGTATACAGTGAGTAGAAAGTATGATAATATACAGTTGGTAGGTGTGATAGTATACAGTTAGTAGAAAGTGTAATGGTATACAGTGAGTAGGTGTGATAGTTTACAGTTAGTAAAAAGTATGATGATATACAGTGAGTAGGTGTGACAGTATACTGTTAGTAGAAAGTGTGATGATATACTGTAAGTAGAAAGTGTGATAATATATAGTGAGTGAAAGGTATTATGGTATTCAGTGAATAGGTGTGATGGTATATAGTGAGTAGGTGTGATGATATACAATGAGTAGAATGTACGATGATATAGAGTAAGTAGGTGTGATAGTATGCAGTGAGTGGAAGGAATGGTGATATAAAGTGTGTAGAAATATGATATACAGTGTGTAGGTGTCTTGATATACAGTGACTAAAAGGTGATGATACACAGTGAGTGGAAGGTATCATGATATACAGTGTGTAGAAAGTATGATGATATGCAGTGAGTAGGTGTGATGATATACAGTGAATAGAAGGTATGATGATATAGAGTGAGTAGGTGTGATTATATACAGTGGGTAAAAAGTTTGATGATATACTGTGAGTGGGTGTGATGATAGACAATGCGTAGGTGTGATAGTATACAGTTAGTAGAAAGTGTGATGATATACAGTGAGTGGAAGTTATCATGATATTCGTTGAGTAGAAAGTGTGATGATATTCAGTGAGTAGGTGTGATGATATACAATGAGTAGAAGGTACGATGATATACAGTGAGTAGGTGTGTTAGTATACAATGAGTAGAAGGTATGATGATATACAGTGAGTAGGTGTGATAGTATACAGTTAGTAGAAAGTGTGATGATATACAGTGAGTAGGTGTGATAGTATACAGTTCGTAGAAAGTGTGATGGTATACAGTTAGTAGGTGTGATATCTTACAGTTCGTAGAAAGTGTGATGATATACGGTGAGTAGGTGTGATAGTTTACAGTTCGTAGAAAGTGTGATGATATACAGTGAGTAGGTGTGATAGTATGCAGTGAGGGGAAGGTATGATGATATACAGTGAGTAGGTGTGATAGTATACAGTTAGTAGAAAGTGTAATGGTATACAGTGAGTAGGTGTGATAGTTTACAGTTCGCAGAAAGTGTGATAATATACAGTGAGTAGGTGTGATAGTATACAGTATAGAAATATGATATACAGTGTGTAGGTGTCTTGATATACAGTGACTAAAAGGTGATGTTATACAGTTCGCAGAAAGTGTGATGATATACAGTGAGTGGAAGTTATCATGATATTCGTTGAGTAGAAAGTGTGATGATATACAGTGAGTAGGTGCGATTGTTTACAGCGTGTAGGTGTGATGATATAGAGTGAGTAGGCGTGATAGTATACAGTGAGTGGAAGGTATCGTATTATGCAGTGTGTAGAAAGTATGATCATATACAGTGAGAATGTGTGATTATATATAGTGAGTAAAAAGTGTGAGATGATATACAGTGAGTAGAAAGTATCATGATATAGTCAGTAGAAGATATGATGATATATATTTAACAATAGGTATGATATGCAGTGAGTGGGATGTATGATGATTAACATTAAGTTGAATGTGTGCTGATACTGTATATAGTCAGTAGAAGGTATTTTGATATGCAGCGAGTAGTATGCGTGGTGATAAACAGTGAATGAAAGGTATGCTGATATACAGTGAGGAAAAGGTATGATGTGATATACAGTGTGTAGGTGTGATGATGTACGGTGAATATAAGGCATGATGATATACAGTGAGGATAACGTATGATGATATACACTGAGTAGAATGAATATTGATATCCACTCAGCAGAAAGTATGATCATATACAGTGAGTAGAATGTACATGTATATATATATGTGTATATACAGTGTGTAGGTGTGGTGATATACAGTAAGAAGAAGGTGTGATGACATACAGTGAGAAGGTGTGATGGTATACAGTGAGTAGAAGGTAATAGTATACAGTAAGAAGGAAGGATGATATACATTGAAAAGAAGGTATGATGATATAAAGTGAGTAGAATTGTTTGCTTTTTGTTGAACGCCGCACTCAGCAATATTCAGCTATATGACTGCGGTCTCTAAAATAATCGAGTCTGGACCAGTGATTGACATCATGAGCATAGATCCAAGCAATTGAGATCGATGACATGCATCAACCAAGTCAGCGAACCTGAGTAGAAGGTGCGATGATATACACCGAGTAGAAGATATGATGATAAAAAAGTGAGTAGAATGTATAATGATATAGTGAGTAGAGGGTGTGGTGATAAAGTGTGTACAACCGATATCCAGTACACACGAATGTCTAAATACTCTACCTGCATGATGACAGTCAACAAAATCTGCTTATTGCATCAACACTGAGGTAGGGTGTCTTACCTCTTTATGACCCTTGTGCATTGTACGGATCTTACCAAACTAGCTTAATTCGAACCACATGGAGAATAAAACGATGTATTGAGGAAGGGGTATTTAGCATTTCTCACCATAGATCACTTTCAAGTAAAACTCGTTTTGACTTGACATATAAGTTTACACCAAGGAAACCACAGCCATGCATTCGACACAAACCGGTTAACAGTGTTGTATGTTGACAACGAGGTGCAACGAACCGTCCTATTTGTATAACAATACATGAATGGAACGCACACTCGTTCGGGAAACATGATCAGGGAAATGCGTCCAACCTTTAACGCTGACATCAACAATGTCCGCATTTCTGTATGTATCGGATTTGTTATGAACATCCATTTGTTGGTTGGGTGGTTGGTTTGTTGTTTAACGCCGAACTCAACAATATACGAGCATTTGTGGGCGGAGTTTACACATCTAATGTTCACATAGACATTCCAAGACACAGATGTTTCAGGAAAACTTAAACATCTTTTTGTTTGTTTGTTTGTGAAACAAATGAACAATGTTTCCTATTTTCACGCTGTCACAGAAGGCCTTATTGGTTTGGTTGGTTTGTTGTTTTACGCCTCCCTCAGCTGATTGGTATCATGAGCATCGATCTACTTAATTGGGATACAATGACATGCATCAACCAAGTCAGCGAGATCCACCCGATCCCGTCAGTCGCCTCTTACGACAAACAGAGTAACCTCTTCACAAACGTCTAAATATACTGACCATCTAGAAAACACGATGAAAGCCGTGGCCACCACACCTGTTTACCTGAGTCTTGTCAATACTGTTTACACGTGGAATGTGGTCGTTTGGCAGTTACGTACATTTGCAAAGAATACAGTCCCGACAACTTAATTTCTCAAACGCGACTGACAGACGCCGCCATCTTCCTGGCGAGCTAGACCGGGAGTAATAAACCACCCCATTATAACGCTCTTAAATAGATAAGACCTTCCCGTTTAACTCAAATGATGGATGCAGTCCGCCATTGAATTCTAATGACAAAGGGAGATCACTGCACTGACAGAAGAGATAAATTTACTTAACTGAACCCTTGCGTGACATACCTGTGTTGTTGCGCAGAGAGAGAGAAAAACGTCTCTTTTCACAACAATAATTCAGAACATGTAAAGGAGTGTCGTAAAATCAATAAACTTAATGTACAGTAGTTTGTTTTCATGACTCAATGAAAATCCCGCACAACCCTGCACTATTCATGCACACGGACACAAAGAACGTCAGTACGATACGTGTTCTTGTCTCACCATCAAATCCTTGTTTGGGGCCATATGCTATGTTAAACTGGCCCTAGCCGGTATCATGGATTCAGACAGCATGTGTTAGTGTGAAACAATTGAACAATGTTTCCTATTGTCACGCAGTCACAGAAGGCCTAATTATAATTGGTTTGGTTGGTTTGTTGCTTTACGCCGCACTCAGCAATATTCCAGCTATATGACGGCGGTCTGTAAATAATCGAGTCTGGACCAGACAAGCCAGTGATTGACATCATGAGCATCGATCCATGCAATGAGGATCGATGACATGCATCAACTAAGTCAGCAAGCCTGACCACCCGATGCCCGTTAGACGCCTTTTACGGCAAGCAGGGGTTGCTGAAGACCTATTCTAACCCAGATCTTCACGGGTCTAGTCTCCAAGGGATCATATATTAATAGCTTTCATGTTTCAGTGACAAATATTCAAACTCCTTACATTTCATTCAATAGGTAATGTGTACTACTGTTTAACTTGAACCGACAATTTACCCAATAGGCTTCCTAAACATTTTTTTTTCAAATACAAATCTAGACAAAATAATTCAATTTCAAATTTTATTTCTCAAACGTTGTGTGTTAACATCAGTAAGAGTATAATATACTGAACAACAAAAGTTCCGGTGACATTGAATAAGATTTAATGCAAAGTTATGTTTTTTACCAAATCTGAAACAATTTCTGTTTGCAACAGATAAAAGACTCCTGTAAGTGTTCAAATGGTTAAATTTGCCATACTGACTTCAGAAAATACGTGATTTAATAAAACAAAACATGAACATGCCAAAATGTCAATTTACAAATCGATAGCGTGTGTGTCAACCTCTGGTTGCGATGCAAGCAACACATCTTCGTCTCATGGAATTGTAGCAGGTGTATATATTTGTATTTTAGCTTTGTTTGTAAATAAAACTATTTCAAGTTTTGTTTCTGTTGAAGTATATTGTTTTTATCCCTTTATTCTAAGTCCAGCCCTCTAGTGATCAATCACAACCCAAGCTATACTACATTCTGTGTCCAGCCCTCTATTGATCAGTCACATCCCAAGCTATCCTGTGATTGGCCAAATTCAAACTTTACTTTCTTGCTCTGACTAACTCCATATTGCCACTTTCACTATGCACTGCATTTGGAGCATTTGTAGATCACCACAAAAGGTTAGTTTATAATTTGTCTTTACTTCTAAATAGGATTAAATAGTAATCAAAGATTAGGCATTATAAATAAGCTTCTAAGAAGTAATTATATTTACATTAAATCATGTGTTTATGTTTTGAATGAATGTGTTTTAGAGGCTGAACTTTAACCTAAGCAGTAATGTATTTTAATATTATCTTGTATACATGCTAAGTTATATCTACATTAATGGAATTGCACAAACTATGCATTTTGTTATTCATTTCATTGTATTTAGTCACTCTAAGTATTTATTCCTGCTCTCTCTTCTGCAGGACATATCATGAACGGTGTCATTTGAAGGGTATCACGTTTCACACCCTTGTGCCACACATAGGGTATGTGTAACCATTTTACTTAATATGTACTGTAAGCCATTTCTATCATATCATCTAATAATACTTAGTTGTAAGTAATGTAACAGAAATGATTGCTTTGACGATTATATGATATATATTGTGCTTTAACATGCATACTATATTATCTGTTGTTTCTTATTACAGGGTGTCTATCGTGATTATAAATAAACATAAGCCTCACATCCCGTAGATGTCTTGGTGTCATCTGTATAAAATAATGGATAAATCCAAGAAAACCCGGTTACAGAATGGACCAGGCGTCGCACAAAATCCTGTGGGATATCTGTCCATATCTGCTGGAACATGTTTCGAAGTTCCTGGAGTGTCTGTGGAACACGTGGTTGACGTCGAATGTGCCGATCCATCTCATCCCACATGTGCTCGATTGGTGAGAGATCAAGGGAGTGAGCCGGCCAGGGGGCGACCCGGCCAGGGAATGACATTCACATTGTTTGGTTAAAGAGAATCCTGAACAAGTCGAGCAATATGAGGCCGGGCGTTGTCATGTTGAAAGGTAATGCCTGGGCCATGACGACGCAAAAACGGTAGAACAACAGGCCGATGATCTCGTCGCGGTAGCGCTGTCCATTGAAATTTCCCTCTACCACTATCAAACGGGTCCTCTGTCTTGCTGTAATCCCACCCCATACCATAACGCTGCCCCCCTCGAAACGATCTTCTTCCATGACACGTAACGTTCATCTCGAAGTTGGTACTCTCGAATCCGTCCATCGCTGTGGTCCCCGTGGGGACCAGGAGAAGATAAACAAGAATGTGTCCTCAGCACCCCATTGCTGGTCGTAAAAGGCAACCAAAGTGGGCAGCCTGTTTGCCGTGGGCTGCGACCCTGTGTCGGCAGAGGAAGGGATTCTGGTGGTTGAGGGCGACGGAGCCAGCAATAGTGCTCCTTAGTCCAACACACCACCTTGACCCTAACTTTGCCTAGACGGGCGGTAGAATGGGCCCGATTCTATCAATCGGCTGGTCATGTCATGCCCTGTGCATAAAATCATATTATGCACACTTTGGGTATTTATAAATCACTGTATTCAAAATGTCTTATATATTTCTCAAACTTTGAAACTTGCTAAGGGCTCATGGGCCAATCTGGTGATACTGACCTCCGAATTCTGTACATCTTCAATTGTTGTCATGGGCCGAACCATCTTGACCTTTAATTTGGTAGATAGTTATAGCTTTTCGCGTCAAATTTGCTGGAGTATACCACCCCTTTATCCCCGGTCTTTGCAGCTTGGAGATCCGCTGCAGCATAAGACTGTCCTTGCAGACACTCCATGGTGGGTGGGGAAAAGGGGTGCTGAATTATTTTCCTTTCAACATGGCTTCCCAACACCCTGGTTCAAAATGAAGACACATAGATTCTGACAATACTTCGTCTGACGAGAATGCATCCATTCAATCTGACTATTGGCCACGTTTTTTTGGTAATTGAAGCATGTGACAAAGAAACAATCAAGCTGAATCCTTTCGCAATCTCCAAAGGTATCGCTGGTATCTGCGAAAAAGGATTTAAATGTCACTGAACTTCGTTTCGGTTCTCTCCTTATAGAGTGTGCAGGGAAACCTCAATCCGTCAGTCTATTCAAATTAGATAAGTTCGTCAACATAAAGGTTGCTGTTTCTGATCATGAGCACCACCCACACTAAACTCGCGTAAGGGCATTGTCTGTGACAGAGCACGCTGCCTGTCGGACATGACCGAAGAAAAAATTGTCAAAGAACTTGTCCAACAGTCAGTCACAGCTGTGAAGCGGTTTACTGTCAAGAAGAATGGGGTTGTTGAACCGACCAACACCTACAGTCCGTTTGACTCCAAATGAGAATGATGAATTGCAAAATAACTCGAAATCCAGAAAAGTGTATGAAACATCAATACGGTACTTGACCATGAATACCCTGTACCCAACAAAATCTGAATTTTGTTTATTTTAAGACTCGTGACGGATGAAGTTCTTTAAGAAACTATCATGTAATTTTGTATAGAAATGTGTACATGACACGTAGGGAGACAAACCGTTGAAGGAACAGCGCAAGCACGGTCTGCACGTGCTACACAGTGACCGTGTTCATTCAGTGATAAGATGCGCTACTCAGCAGATGTTAAACAGTTGATGTTGAATGTGTATGATTTCTTTAGAAGTAAAGCAGAAAGAGCAAAGCCTTTTTATGTAATTAATAAATTCTTGAAACGAGCTTCAAAAGCTCTTGGTATGTCCCCTCAGAAACTTTAAAATGTTGTTGACGACGAGATACAATAATCATTAATGTCCAAAGAAGGATTTTAATTAACGGTGGTAACCATAATTTGTTCCAAGCACCTACGGTATTCGGTAATAACATCAATAGTTTAAATCATAAGTCCCAAGCACGAGAATCTGATGGCACACAAGTTCAGTAGCGTGTATGGCCACCATGTGCATTGACAATTGCCACACAACGCCTCCGCATGGACCTTGTGATGCTTGTGAACACATGATTGGGAAGACGACGCCATTGTTGCTGCAAATTGGTGCCAAGATCTTGCAAATTCTGTGGTTGGTTCTGGAGAGTGCGCAGACTTCTGCCAAGAGCATCCCAGACATGTTCGATGGGATTGAGGTCAGGAGACCTTGACGGCCAGTCCATGACGTTGACTCCCGCCTGGAACGTGCATTGCCACAGAAAGCACCCCACACCATGACACTTCCGCCTCGAAATCTGTCAACTTCCTGTACACAACACTGGGCGTAACGTTCATGACGGCGCCTCCACACCCTCGCCCTACCATCAGCAAATCGAAGATTAAATCGGGATTCATCACTGAAGACGACTTGATTCCAATTCCTCCGAGTCCATCGTAAGTGTCGCTGTGCCCACAATTGACGTTGACGTCTGTGTAATTGAGTCAGAATCGGCCCACAGTATGGCCGTCGTGCTTGTAGGTGAGCAGTTCTCAGACGGTTTCGAACAGTTTGCGCACTCAGTCTACCCCTAAACAGTTCATTTCTGGTTGATGTAGCCGTCAAAAATCGGTTACGGAGGTGGCGTAAGACAATCTGACGATCCTCTGCATGTGACGTCACACGTGGTCGACCTGGCTGAG